TGCATGGATTAGTTTTTCTGCATCTGTCTGTGATAGTATGTGTCTAATTTTTCTAATATTACGTAAATGAAAGAAGGCAGTCCTAGAGGTCTGCTTTATGTGGGAGTTAAATGACAAATCCTGATCAAAGATAACTCCAAGATTCCTGACAGTGGTGCTAGAGGCCAAGTTAATGCCATCTAGAGTGACTATATCTTTAGACAATGAGTCTCTAAGGTTTTTGGGGCCAAGAACAAGAATTTCGGTTTTTTCTGAGTTTAACATCAGAAAATTGCAGGTCATCCAGGATTTTATGTCCTTAAGACATGTTTGTAATTTAGATAATTGATTAATTTCATTGGGTTTGATTGATAGATATAACTGCGTATCATCTGCATAACAGTGAAAGTTAATGGAGTGATTCCTAATAATGTTGCCTAAAGGGAGCATATATAAAGTAAATAGTATTGGTCCAAGTACAGAACCTTGTGGAACTCCATGACTAACTTTAGTATTTATGGAGGATTCATCGTTAACATGTACAAACTGAGAACGATCTGATAAGTATGACTTAAACCAGGTTAGGGCAGTTCCTTTAATGCCAATTTGATGCTCAAGTCTCTGTAAAAGAATATCATGGTCAATGGTGTCAAATGCAGCACTAAGATCTAATAATACAAGTACAGAGACAAGTCCATTGTCAGAAGCAATCAGAAGGTCATTATTAACTTTAACCAGAGCTGTCTCTGTGCTATGATGAACTCTAAATCCTGACTGAAAATCCTCAAATAAACTATTGTTATGTAGAAAGTCACACAACTCTTTGGCGACTACTTTCTCCAGAATCTTAGAGAGGAACGGGAGGTTAGAAATCGGTCTATAGTTGGCTAAAACCCCTGGGTCAAGAGTAGACTTTTTAAGAAGGGGTTTAATTACAGCTACTTTAAAGGACTGTGGTACATATCCTGATAATAAAGAAAGATTAATCATATCCAGTAAAGAAGTGCCAATTAAGGGAACAACTTCTTTAAGCAGCCTAGTTGGGATCGGGTCTAACAGACAGGTTGATGGCTTCGATGAAGAAATGATTGAAGTTAACTGATGAAGATCGATAGCAGAAAAACAGTCTAAATATACATCTAAGTTTACATTGACAGAAGTCCCTGAACTTGGAGAGCCACTGATAACTGTTGATGGCAGTTGGTGATTAATTTTTTCTCTAATAGTAATAATTTTATTATAGAAGAAGCTCATGAAGTCATTGCTACTTAAGTTTATGGGGATATGTGGCTCGATAGAGCTGTGACTCTCTGTCAGCCTGGCTACAGTGCTGAAGAGGAACCTAGGGTTGTTCTTATTTTCTTCTACTAGTGCTGAGTAATAGGCTCCTCTGGCATTACGGAGGGCCTTTCTATAAATCTTAAGATCATCTTGCCAATTTGAGCGATATTCTGATAATTTGGAAGAGCGCCATTTCCTTTCAGATTTCCTAGCTATTTGCTTTAACTGGCGGGTTTGGTGGTTATACCAAGGTGCTAGTCTCCTATGTTTTAAGAATTTCCTTTTTATAGGAGCGATAGAGTCTAATGTTGATCGTAGTGAGCCTGTAGCACTATCGACAAGATTATCAATTTCAGAGGGACTAAAGTTGTTATAGGACTCTGTTAAATTCAGACATGGCATTGAATTAAACACTGAAGGAATCTCCTCCTTAAATTTAGCTACAGCACTGTCAGATAGACATCTGCTGTAGGAAGTTTTGCCTAATGGCTTATAATCTAACAACATGAATTCAAAAGTTATTAAATAATGGTCAGATAGGAAAGGATTATGTGGGAAGACTATTAAATGTTCAATATCAATGCCATATGATAAAACAAGGTCAAGAGTGTGATTAAAACAATGAGTTGGTTTATTTACACTCTGACAGAAGCCAATTGAGTCTATTAATGATATAAATGCATTACTAAGGCTGTCATTGTCAACATCCACATGAATATTAAAATCACCTACAATAATTACTTTATCTGATTTAAGGAATAAACTTGATAGAAACTCTGAAAATTCAGATATAAAATCAGAGTACGGTCCAGGAGCGCGGTACACTATAACAAATAGAACTGGCTGCAGTGTTTTCCAGTTTGGGTGAGAAAGACTAAGAACAAGGCTTTCAAATGAATTATAATTTAGTTTAGGTTTAGGGTCCATTAAAACGCTCGAATCATATATAGCTGCTACTCCACCTCCTCGGCCTGTGCCTCGAGGAATGTGAGTATTAATATGACTGGGGGGGTGGATTCATTTAGGCTAACATACTCCTTGTGGGACAACCAGGTCTCAGTAAGACAAAGTAAATCAATATCATAATCTGATATTAATTCATTCACTAGAACAGCTTTAGAGGACAGAGACCTGATATTTAACAGCCCACATTTCATTCTCTTATTTTGTGCTACTGAGGAGTTGGTTTTAATTTTTATTAGATTTTTATGTTGAACTCCTCTTGTTTTTATTTCTTTAAATAGTTTAGGTGGTCGGGGGACAGACACAGTCTCTATGGGGTTTTGGGTGGGTGACTGTTCTAAAGAAAGCGCAGAGGAGTGTGTAAGACAGCAGCTCTGCTTCCTGGTCCTAACTCTGGACTGTCAGGTTTTAGAGATAAACTTCGCCATATTTCTAGATAAGAGAGCCGCTCCATCCAAAGTGGGATGGATGCCGTCTCTCCTAATCAGACCAGGTTTTCCCCAAAAAGGCTTCCAGTTATCAATGAAGCCCACATCGTTTGCTGGACACCACCTCGACAGCCAGCGGTGGAATGACGACATGCGGCTATACATGTCATCACTGGTCACATTGGGGAGGGGTCCAGAGAAAACTACGGTGTCCGACATTGTCTTAGCATAATTACACACCGACTCCACATTAATCTTAGTGACCTCCGATTGGCGTAAACGGGTGTCGTTACCGCCGACGTGGATAACAATCTTACTGTATTTACGTTTATCTTTAGCCAGCAGTTTTAAATTTGATTCAATGTCGCCCGCTCTGGCCCCAGGGATACATTTAACTATGGCCGCTGGCTTCGCTAACTTCACGTTTCTGACTATGGAGCTGCCAATAACCAGAGTTGGTTCCTCAGCGGGTGTATCGCTGAGAGGGGAAAATGTATTAGAAACGTGAAGGGGTTGGTGGTGACCTGTGGGCTTCGCCGTTCTAGTCTTCCTTCGCTCAGTCACCCAGCCTCCCTGTCTTCCCGGCTGCTCGGGAACTACCGGGGGATCTACAGAGCTAACAGAAGCTACCTTCGGTCGGACCGCACCGGCTACTGGGGGCTGGCTAACTATAGCGGCTAAAGATATCTCAGTGGTGCGGTGCCGTTCCTCTAACTCACTAAGCCTCGCCTCCAGCGCAGTAAATAAACTACATTTAATACAGGTACCATTATCTTTAAAGGAGGCAGAGGAATAACTGAACATCTGACACACTGAGCAGGACAGAGGAGAGGGAGAGGGAGAAGCCATAGCTAACTGCTAATGCTAATGAAACTAGAGTGTATGAAAAACTTTGAAAGTAGTGAAAAGTCCCTAAAAGAGGGAGAAACTCCAAGTGTTTAAGTAGAACTAGTCTACGTTTAAATGTTAAGCGGGTAAATAACCGCTGTAACGAGTAAAACTAATTTATATTTAGCGTTCACTGACAGAGCTACAGCACCAAACAGTGTACACAGAACAGGAAGTAAACCGGAAGTGAGTCAGTACGCTTACCGTAGCACGTCACACTTTATGAAAATATCAGAAGTATAACATAATGAACAACATTTGTTAAGATGTCATATTTCTGTCAAAATGTAATTAATATTCCTCAGTAACTGAGATCCGAGTCAAATCCAGTTCCACACTGTGAGGTGGAGTCAATGCAAAACTCAGATGTCTTTCACCTCTACTTATCTGACTGCAGAGAGGATGACAGAGAACAGTGGACGCACAGTTTAACATGATGGACTATAGGACAGGACTGCTGCTGTTAACTATCTGCTGGGCAGGTGAACATCTTCATCATCTTCTTATTTTTATTTGAGCAGCCAATGTAACACATGACATGCATATCTTTCTTGGTTTGACAGGTGTTGATGGTCAGACTCTAACAGAATCTGAACCTGTGGTTAAAAGGTCTGGAGAATCTCACAGATTGACCTGTACAGCCTCTGGATTCACATTCAGCAGCTACTATATGAACTGGGTCAGACAGGCTCCTGGAAAAGGACTGGAGTGGATTGCTTTTATCTATGACAGTGACAGTAGTGGCACTTATTACTCTCAGTCAGTTCAAGGCCGGTTTACCATCTCCAGAGACAACAGCAGACAGCAGGTGTATCTGCAGATGAACAGTCTGAAGACTGAAGATTCTGCTGTTTATTATTGTGCTCGAGACTCACAGTGACTGGAGTTGGTTGAGCAGCTGTACAAAATCCGCCAGTACTCATCTTTCAGGCTGGTGGAGCCTGTGTATTAAGTATCCATAGTATTTCTATTTTATAGCAATTTTATTTTTTAATGAATTGTTTTATATGCTACATTACATTGTATTAAATTAAAAATAAATAAATATTACGTGAAATAATTTATAATTTTATTTTCTCCCTGCATAATACAAAGTCCAGAAAAATGTTCCTTATATTTGATTATTAAATATTAAACACATAAATACACATTAAAGGTCACTTGGTGATAAAAGGGCCAAAGACAGCAGAGTCTGGTTGCTGAAATGTAACTCTTACAAATACTAAACATGTATATAAATTAAGACACAACAGTGTAAATTGTGTGGAATATAAAGTGAGTAATAATATGAGAGTGAAAAATAATGCTTTAACACAACATGTTTTATAAAAAGCAACATTCTTGTTGCTCCTTTTGTTTCATTGGGTGAACATCATCATTGTTATGCAAAGCTGACTACAATACTGCAGGTGTACAATGCACAATTATCATAAGCAGAGGTGATTTTCAGTCATGTTTTCACTCTGCAGATATAATAACAGTCAACAGACTCTTCTATTGGCTCCAGTTAGACCAACATTGATGCTTCATATGTTTGATTCTATGCAAACTCAGTGACCTTCCTTGTTACTCAGCTATAAAAACTTCCCATCAGGCTGTCAGTGGAGTTCACAGCACGTCAGTTTCAACATAAACCATGTTCTCTGTAGCTCTGCTGCTGCTGTTGGCAGCTGGATGTGAGTCTCTCTGGATTTGTCAAAGTCAACAGTTCTTCTTTTGCAGTATAACTTGATCATTTGTTACAAAACATTTTCTTTTTTAACAGGTGTGAAGTGTGAACAGTTGACACAGCCAGCCTCTGTGACTGTGCAGCCAGGTCAACGTCTGACCATCACCTGTCAGGTCTCTTATTCTGTTAGCAGCTACTACACAGCTTGGATCAGACAGCCTGCAGGGAAAGGGCTGGAGTGGATTGGAATGGCAGCTGTTGGATCCACCACACGCTACAAAGATTCACTGAAGAACAAGTTCAGTATCGACTTAGACTCTTCCAGTAAAACAGTGACTCTAAACGGACAGAATGTGCAGCCTGAAGACTCTGCTGTGTATTACTGTGCCAGAGAGACACAATAACACAAACCATCAGTAGACCTGAACAAAAACCCCTCAGTGCCTGAACACTTGTAACATGAAGCCACCAGAGGAGGAGCCCTCAGACCACTAATGATTTCAACACCAGTTCACTGTTACAGTGAAGATAGAAACAGACATGATAAGAATTGAAAAAGGTAAAGAAATATAAGATGGTTCATTATAATATAGAATAATAAAATCAAATATACAGTGTAGGAATTTTACAAAACATGTTTTATCTGTCTGTCTCAGAAATATAAATTATGGAATTTCTTCGTATTGACTGAAAAATATGGGTATTTATGGCATCCATGTACTGGATGTTATTCCTGTTTAATGTTTAATTAATATTCTCAAATGTATTCTTCACTATTATTGCTACTCAGGTTTTCGTTCCCCAGAAATCTTGAAAATGGTATGACTTATGAACACTTGGAAGACATTTTCTTGTGAGAAATTCAACATTGTAACATAATGAACAACATTTGTTCGGGTGTTTTTTGATTTTTCTTTATATTAAAATGTAATTAAAAATACTTACTTTAGGTGTATGGTAAAATTGATAAACTATTGTCGAGGTCTTCACATGATGCAGACTGTGGTCTTTAATGTGGTCTTTAATAAGGGTCAACCAACTTAAATAATGTGTTTCTCAACCTGTTGCACAAATTATACTGAAACATGCAAGAGGGACTCTTGGATGAATGACTAATGTACAGTAAACATTCATTCTGCAGTTTCACCAAACATCAACTGAGATCCAAGTCAAATCCAGTTCCACACTGTGAGGAGGAGTCAATGCAAAACTCAGATGTCTTCCACCTCTACTTATCTGACTGCAGAGAGGATGACAGACAACAGTGGACACACAGTTTAACATGATGGACTATAGGACAGGACTGCTGCTGTTAACTATCTGCTGGGCAGATGAACATCTTCACTGATGTTCTATATAGCTTTAATTTATGTCATCTGCTTACTTCACATGATTTGTATCTTCTTGACAGGTGTTGATGGTCAGACTCTGACAGAATCTGAACCAGTGGTTAAAAGGCCTGGAGAATCTCACAGATTGACCTGTACAGCCTCTGGATTCACATTCAGCAGCTACTATATGCACTGGATCAGACAGGCTCCTGGAAAAGGACTGGAGTGGGTTTCCAGGATTGAGAGTGGTAGTGGTAGCAGCAAACTCTACTCTCAGTCAGTTGAAGGCCGGTTTACCATCTCCAGAGACAACAACAGACAGCAGGTGTATCTGCAGATGAACAGTCTGAAGACTGAAGATTCTGCTGTTTATTATTGTGCTCGATACCCACAGTGACTGGAGTTGGTTGAGCAGCTGTACAAAATCCTACACTACTCATCTTTACCACAAGTATTTCACTAAAATGATTTTAATACCTTGAATTGAGAATTGTTAATATGCATTTCAGTCAGACGACTCATCTTTGTCATTACAGCAGTATAGCATCGTTAGATTTTGGCGTCAAGGCTCCGACTTCTTCACTCCCTACCTACCTACTTTAAAGCAGAGGGAGAGCTGGGACATTTTGCAGCTTAAATAGACCGCCAGATTGGAAGGGTGCGCTTTGTTAGTGATTATGGAGAGTGAGACATATCATGTGTGTATAGCAGCGCAGCTCAAGTTGACTGCCTGAACTAGCTCTCAGGCTTCGCTCCATTTGCTTTTTTTGCACATCACACAAGTTTAAGTTCCTAACTAGTTAATTTCCTCTTGAGAAGTTTTTCCTGTATGTCTGTGACTTCAACCAGCCACAGTTTAAATGCTGAATCCTTTAAAATTAAACAAAAGAAAAAGTCCAAAAAATCCAGGCATTCAACCAGCTTCAGCAAACTCAAATTCAATTACATGATCTTGCTTTTACTACACTTGTGTCTGCATTAAGTTAATACAATGAAACCAATAAGTAAATCAGTCAATCTTACAATTTTTCATTATCTGGGGATTTCTGAATTAAACCGTTATGAAACCAAAGGAAGTGGCTAATATGTAACTCATTTGAGTCAAATTTTATTACAACAAATCAACATCTTGTCACGACCGAACTATGGACTAGAACCCAATTGCACAACTCAGACAAAAGTACCAAAATAAAGTTTTATTAACAAAACAATAAACACTCTTGCGAGGTAATACTAGGACTAATACAACAAACAGAAGATCACGAGCAAACAAAGTAACAAAACAACAAGACCTGACAATTGGACATGGATCGATAAAGCGCTGGTTCTCTGGTGCATGGGACAAGACAAACTGGCACAGGACAAAGGGAGACACGGACTATATATACACACACACAAGGTAAGGGCACAGGTGGAAACAATCAGGGTGGAGACAGGTAATCCCAGGAGTGGGACAAGAGACAAAGGGAGAAAGTAAAGCTGGTGACAAGAGACAGACAGGAAGTAGAACCAAAATAAAACAGGAAATTACAAGACAACATAGACACGTGACAAAACAGAATAAATAAACTAAAGTTTCCTGGACATGACACATCCGTCTATCTATCAACACTACAACTCTAAAATGTCTGACCGTTAAAATGCAAATTCACACACTGATACACAATCCCCACCCATTCTGCCTGTACAATATATATCCTTCATAATAACCTTTGCAGTTGCAGACTCAGCCAAGTTCCCACCATGACAGCTGTACAAAGTCTCTTCCTCTTGACTCTCATTTCAGGTGAGTGAAGTCGGTGACCAGCGGAGGAGAAAATGAGCTTTGGATGTCTGCTGGCTCCCCGTCATCTAAACTCTGTGTCTCTTTCAGCTGCTCAGGGTCAGTCCCTCACCTCCTCAGAGGCAGTGGTCAGCAGAGCTGGAGAACCAGTCACTCTGTCCTGTAAAGTGGAAGGACTCACTCTGGCTTGGCTGCACTGGATTTGTCAGAAACCAGGGAAAGGACTGGAATGGATCGGACGAATTGATAGCGGAACTGGCACAATATTTGCCCAAAGTCTCCAAGGACAGTTTTCCATCACCAAAGACACCTCCAAAAACCTTGTGTCCTTAGAGGTGAGGTGTCTGAAACAAGAAGACTCTGCAGTTTATTATTGTGCACGAGAGCCACAGTGACACACCAGACTGCAACGCTGCACAAACACTGAATTCAATTCAATTCAATTCAATTTTATTTGTATAGCGCCAATTCATAACAGAAGTTATCTCATGTCACTTTCCAAATAGAGCAGGTGTAGACCGATCTCCTTTTAACATTATTTACCACCAACAGACCCAACAGTACCACCATGAGCAAGCACTTGGCGACAAGGACAAGGAAAAACTGCCCGTTAAAAGGCAGAAACCTAGGACAGATCCTTCGGCTCTAGGTGGGTGGTCGTCTGTCTCGACCAGTTGGGGTGAGAGAGAGAGAGAGAGAGAGAGAGAGAGAGAGAGAGACAGAGAGACAGAGAGAGAGAGAGAGAGAGAGACAGACAGACAGATAGACAGGTGCACAGCAACTACAGTAGCAACAACTACACTAATAGTAGTGACTGATGATGATGAACATGACAGCAACGATGAGGGACAATGAGCAGTGACAACAGCAACAACAGTAACCGTAAACTGAACCTCACTGATCCCTGCGTGAGAAGCACTGAAGCATGTCAGCCCTTTGAAAACAGTTTACCACTGAATGATGGCCAATCATCAATGAAATATATTTCATCATAAAGAATATTTGTCAGTGTTTATCATGACTCACAGCTATGTCTGCGTTTATAATCAGACAACCTTCCTGTAATTACAGCATTAATTAAAGTACAAAACTTAAAAAGGCACTGTATCATTCACACATTCACACAACCTACATCAACTTCATGAGACCTAGTTTTACAATGAATTTAAATATGAGTGACAGGGTACATATTTGTTTTTTTCATGATATTATAAAGGGTGTTGTTCAAATACATTTTCAATACTACATTGCTAATGTCATATTTATAAGTACAAATCATAAATTAATGTTTTAGTTTGTAAATTTGGTTTGAAAAGAGAAAGAAGCTGAAAAACATTAGATCAGAAAATAAAATAAAATCACAGTTTTCACCTGGTTGAATACTTTAAACTATTTATCAGTATAAACATTTCTCCACATAAATTACTGTACATATTCCTCTTTAGCTGATGTGTTATATTTATAGTTCTTATAGTTGATTTTTTCCCCTTCTATCACCACATCAACTAACTATATTTGTATATTATGTAATTGAATTTTCTCCTCCCTGTGAGGAGGAGTCAATGCAAAACTCTTGGAGGAATGACTAATGTACAGTAAACATTCATTCTGCAGTTTCACCAAACATCAACTGAGATCCAAGTCAAATCCAGTTCCACACTATGAGGAGGAGTCAATGCAAAACTCAGATGTCTTCCACCTCTACTTATCTGACTGCAGAGAGGATGACAGAGAACAGTGGACACACAGTTTAACATGATGGACTATAGGACAGGACTGCTGCTGTTAACTATCTGCTGGGCAGGTGAACATCTTCACTGATGTTGATTTGACATATTTTTATTTGTGCCGCCAATGTAACATATGACATGAATATCTTTCTTGGTTTGACAGGTGTTGATGGTCAGACTCTAACAGAATCTGAACCTGTGGTTAAAAGGTCTGGAGAATCTCACAGATTGACCTGTACAGCCTCTGGATTCACATTCAGCAGCTACTATATGGCCTGGGTCAGACAGGCTGCTGGAAAAGGACTGGAGTGGATTGCTTATATCAGCAGTGGCAGTAGCAACATCTACTACTCTCAGTCAGTTCAAGGCCGGTTTACCATCTCCAGAGACAACAGCAGACAGCAGCTGTATCTGCAGATGAACAATCTGAAGACTGAAGATTCTGCTGTTTATCGAGACTCACAGTGACTGGAGTTGGTTGAGCAGCTGTACAAAATCCTACAGTACAAATTTTTCAGGCTGGTGGAGCCTGTATATTAAGTATTCATTGTATTTTTAATATTTTTCAATTTTAATTTGTCGCATTGATTTCTTTATAAATTGTTCTATATGCTTCATTATGATTGATTAAATAAAAAAATAAAAAAATATTAATAATAATAATAATAATTGTCCCTGCATTATACAAAGTCCAGAAAACTGTTCCTTATATTTTATTTTCAACA